TCCCTCCCTCCCTCCTTCTTCCTTCTTTTTTTAGTGTTGGAGTAGAGCTGAGGGCATAATGCTTTCTAGACAAATGTTCTACCTCTGATTGGCACATTTTAAGACAGGGTCTTGCCAAGTTGCTTAGGCTGGCTTTGAATTTGTGATCCTCCTGCCTCAGTAGCTAGGACTACAGGCCTGTGCCACGGCTCAAAGTTTCTCTGTGTGCGTGCGTGTGTGTGTGTGTGTGTGTGTGTGTGTGTGTGCGCGTGTGCATGCGTGTGCGCACGCACTGGGATTAAAGGGTGTGTGACACCATGCTTGGCCCCCATTAAATGTGTAACTCAGGTTATGTAGTGTTTATATATAACTTATATATATAAGTTATTTCCTTAACTTAATTGGTTAATATAGTAATGTAATAGAATTAGTCTAAAATTGTGTAGCAGTCATTTTTTACTTAATGATTCCTTTGCTGCCCAAATCAATCTTTGCTTTTTTAGAGACAGGGTCTCACTATGTAGACCAAGCTGGCCCCAAACTCATATTTTAAACTCACTCCATCCTTAAAACAACTAATCAGAAAAAAAAAACTTTTTTTCTTTCTAAAAATAATTTTATTACATTTTAGTTTTGTGTGTGTGTGTGTGTGTGTGTGTGTGTGTGTTCATTCATCGTGGTAATCGCACACGTGCACAAGCACAACACATAGCAGTATTATTCTTACATTTCATGTATTCATTTATATATTTGCTCAATATATTTTACTCAGTGCCTGTTAGTGCTTTTAAAAACACCATGTGCCGGCTGTGGTGGTGCACACTGGTAAGATATACTGAAGAGGCTGAGGAAGGAGAATCACAAGTTCTAGGTCAGCCTGAGCTACACATTTAACGGAGGCCAAGCACTTGGGAGGCAGAGGCAGATGGACCTCTGTGAATTTGAGGCCAGCCTGGTCTACATAGTAGGTTCCAGGTCAGCTGGGGCTACAGGAAGATCCTGTCTCAAAAAGACAAAAAGCAATAACAACAATAAAAACCACTAAGTATCTCCCTTAAAACCCTTCAGTATCCTCAGATGTAAGGAAAAAATGTAAAATTAAGAGTGGGTTGCTGGTTACATGACATGAATGTACTAAATGCTGCTGAATTATTTTAAAATAGTTAAGTGTATGTTATGCAAATTTTGCTTCAATTAAGAAAAAGGTAAGTTGAATGCATAGTCCTAGACCAGATCCAATATTGGAGGAAAATGGATACTAAAAGACATTATGGGGTCAACTCACAAAATTGGAACATGGACAATAAAGCATTATAGTGAGGGCTGAGTGCAGCTCACAGGGTTAAAACACTTGCCTATCAAGCCTGATGTTTTAGATTTCAATCCCCAACATCACACACACAGAAAAACCAAAAGATAATTTAATGTTAAAACTTCTGAAGGTAGGGACTGGAAAGATGGCTCAGATATTAAAAGCACTGGCTACTCTTGCAGAGGACCTGGGTTCAGTTCCCAACTCACACATGACAGCTAACAGCCATCCATAACTCCAGTTCCAGAGGAATCCAATGCCCTCTTCTGGCCATTGCAGGCATTGCACTCATGGGTGCACTTACATACATGCAGGATACAGAAAATAAAAATAAATTAATGCCTTTAATCCCAGCACTCAGGAGACAGAGGCAGGTGGATCTCTGTGAGTTCAAGGCCAGCCTGGTCTACATAGTGAGTTCCAGGATAGCTGGGGCTACAGGGAGACCCTGTCTCAAAAAGACAAAAAAAAAATTAAAAATTTTAAAAATTATGAATGTAAGCTGGGTGTGGTGGCGCATGCCTTTAATCCCAGCACTCAGGAGGCAGAGAAAAGCGGATCTCTGTGAGTTCAAGGCCACCCTGGTCTACGTAGTGAGTTCCAGGACAACTGGGGCTACAGAGAGACCCTGTCTCAAAAAGACCAAAAAAAAATTATGAATATAATAAATCCACTGTAGAAAGAGGATGTCATTATTCTTAGGAAATACAGAACAAAGTACTTGGGGGAAGGAGTATGATATATATGAATAATATAAAAATGCTTCAGAAAAATATGTACATATAGCAAGGATAAAGGACATAGCAGAGGGGCAAACTGTTAATAATAGGTGAACTTGAGTACAGAACACAGTATCTATCACTCTTGAAGTTCCCTATACAACTGAATCAGATGATGAGATTCTCCTACTGTTTGTGTCTCTCCCATTGTTAGAATGTGATCTCCATGAGGTAGGAGTCTTGCATACCCAGTCCTAGGACAATGTCTAAACATTGCTCTTATGGATTGAATGACTGACAGAATGGTCACCATTCTGAAGAGTGGAGCTTCCTGGGAGAAGAAATAAGAAAGTATGAAAAACATGGACCGCATCATACTCTTGATCCTCACCTGCCTACCCACCCACCACACACAGGCACATGCACACACTCATTTTCATACACACACACACACACACACACACACACACACACACATGCACTCACATACCCACTCTCATGCACACACTCACATTCATGCACTCACGCACACATATGCTCTCATACACATATTAACACACAGACTCCTAAACACACACACACTCACTCTTAAACATACATTCATGCATGTACACACTCACATCATACTGCCACTGGCTTCCTGCTCCCCTCCTTTACTTCTCTGACTGGTTCTCGCCTGCTCCTTGACTGCCTCCCTGGATCGAATCCTCCTATGAGAGCACTCTTTAACTTCCATCCTTAACTCCCTTCTTTGCTAATTCAGTGCTCTTTCTGTAGGTGTTCTAATTATTCTCCTTGGCTCTCATGCATGAGTGTGTAGGTGTGTGTGCCCATGTGCGTGTGCATGTGAGTATGTGTGTGTGCTTTCCAATCCTCCACTCTTAATTTCAGACCCACATTTCCAGTTGTCCATTAGATTATCCCACAGATCCCCTCAAATTTAGCACAGGTAAAACTTTTGACACAGGGTCTCGTGTAGCCCAGGATGACCTCTAACTCATACTGTAACTGAATACCTCTTGCCTCTACCTCCGCAAATGCTGGACATCATTACTTCTTGATAGCTCATTGTTGTAACTTTTGCATAGACTTCCCTCTGCCAACCCCTGACTTCTCCTGTACTCTCCTTCCAGTGGACTGCCTTAGTCCATTTTCTGTTGCTGTAGGTAAATACCACAGACTGGTAAAATCATGAAGATTAAAGGTTTATTCAGCTCTTAGTTTTGGAGGCTAGGCAGTCCAAGTCTGAGAGCTACTAGGTAAAGGCCTTTACTGATGGGGACATTTTGTAGGTACAAAAATGGTACATGGTATACAGCACAAGCAGCAATCTTATTAGCTTAAATCTCTCTTCCTTTAAAAAAAACAATGCAGGATCTGAATCTATGGGTCTCAAGTCCCAGAGCCTGCATTATTTGTTGGTTTGTCAGTTTGGAGACAGAGTCTCTTATATTATAGCCTAGACTGATCAAAGATGACCTTGAACTTATGATCCTTCTGCCTCCATCTCCCCAGAGCTGGGATGACAAGGGAATGCTGCCATGCTTGGTCTACTGGACTTTAGGGACACTGCCTGGCTCACATTCCCCTGACCTCTTTGGCTTTGCAATGATCTCCCCTCCACTTTCCACTTGGAATAATCTTGCATCTTTTATCGAGCAACTGAATACCACCTCTTCCATAAGGCCTTTCTGAAGCCTTCGTTTGACTTTATTCTAATAGCATGTTAATCTTTGCTCTTTAGCTCTTAATCGCTCTTCTGATTAATGACTTAGATATCTGTTCTACATTGTTTTATGCACCTTGAGAACTGGAAGCATACTTATAGCCTTCACTGATTATGATGCATTGAAAATCCTTAATAAATGCATCGATATGAATTGTCTAGCACACACTTGCACCCACCCACTGCCTGGCAGTCTTTCTCTTTGAATGCATGATTCATCCTCTCCAGAGATTAGGAACTTGGCTATATTCATCTTTCTATATGTGAATGACTAAAGGGATAAACATTTTGGAGTACTGAAGAACAAGTTACTAGGCATGTTTATTCTCAAGCCTCATCAATTTAAATCCCTCTGGTTGTAGCCATGTCCTGACAGAGTTCAGTGGGTATACAGATGTGCACACAATTACATATGACTATGTGCCGTGGATGTATTTAGGTTGACTGTGAACCCCACTTTTGTAGAATTGTATGTAGTATGAAGATTTCAGTAGTTAGTACCAATCCTTGTTTGGGGGGTGAGGGGTGGGAAGGGAAGACAAAAAATTTTGAATGAATTTGGATTTTTATATATCAGTTTTACTTAAAATAAGATATTCAAGAACTTCTGTTAAGCCAACACATTGTCTCTGCCTACTCCTCGTCACCTGAGTTCCTTCTCAAAGTTTTCAGAGAAATAAGACTCTTGAAGACAAGATAACGGCTCTCAACTTTTCTTCCCTCTTATCTCCCCATAGAGGATTTTGTTAGGCCAACAAAAGACATGAACTTTTGTAGTTCCGGTGCTAAGGGACATAAAGAAGTCTGTAACCTCCTAAGTGGTGTCAGATTAAAAAGTTTGTCACTTCCAGCATCTTTCAAAGGTAAAGAAAATTTAACTTGCATTCATTTTTCAGTAGATTCTACTTTTGCCTCTTCTAGGATCATTACACAAAGACGAGAAAGGTTATAGCATGGGCCCGATTCATATTTGTTTTGTATCACCCCAGGTGGTCAGAAGGTTCCACAGTGTGCTTGGGTATCCTACTTCTAATTAGGAGCTTCCTTCTCTCTGTGCCTATTCTAGATTGAACAAATGCCTGTTCAAATGCATAAAAGAATGAAATGTAAAGAGCTGGGGAGGTGGTTCAGTTAATAAAGTGTCTGCTGTGCAAGCATGAAGACCTGAGTTCGATCCCCAGCACGCACTTAAAAAAAAAAGTGAAAGTTGGGATCGGAGCAATGGCCTCTCTGACACTTGCTAATGCTATAGAGATGATAATGTTTCTCATGGGAATAAATGAATCTCTGGGACAGATAGAGAGAAACCTTGTTGCTGGGCAGGTCCAGGAAAAAGAAGAACCAGTGAAGACAGAGGAGGGGCATCTGGAGATGTTTACAATGCACAGGCTTGGGAGACCTGACTACAATGACCTCCTGTGACCTCCCCTCACACACCCTTGTCACCCTTTAGCACAAAATCAAACACTTTGAAATCAATCTTATTCTTGCTGTGTACTTTTTTTAAAAAATATTTTATTTATTATTTTTATTTTATGTGTATGAGTGTATTGCCTGCATGTATGTGAGTGCACCCGAGTCATGCACAGCTGCGGAGGTCAGAAGAGGCTGTTGGATCCCCTGGAAGTGGAGTTACAGACAGCTGTTAGCTGCCATGTGGGTGTTGGGATTCGAATCCCGGTCTTCTGCAAGAACAGCCAGTGATCTTAACCACTGAGCCATCTCTCCAGCCCCAAGAAATTACTTCTTTTGATTTGGCTTAGCTAGGTTTCTACAAACAAGAACTATAGTGCTGGACAGTTGTCTATCTCGATAATGCATCAAATAATGTTAGGTAATTAATTCCCCATTGTGTGGCTTTTCACCCACAGAAATCTCTCTGGTCCAGCTGGATAGCATGAGCCTTTCCCAGCAGATGCTTGTGAGATACGCTGCCATCACTGGTTTGACCTTCACTACAGAACTGTTGTGTCAAATTCTCCCCTCCTGGAACATGAACATGATAAACAGGGCCCTGGCCAAACTAGTGGAATCAAATGTTTTTGATTGCCTCTGGAATGGTAAGGATCTTCAATTGGCCCTAAAACAGAATGTGTCCACATTTGAGGTGCATTATGGCTCCATGGCCCTGAGGCCCAGTGAAGGGTTGGGTGAGTAGTGCCTACAAAATGTCAGCATGTACAAGGTCCTGGGTTCAATCCCGAGTACTACAATTAAAAAAAAAAATTTATCAGAAATAAAGAGGTGATCTGTGTCAAGTACCAGCAGCTGATTGGTTGTTGACTGCCTTCCTGAAAAACCTTTCCTGTTCTTTCCAGCTCACTGTGAGGAGGAACACCATGAAATGGAGGGAGAGGGGGTGTGCCGCATCTTTCGCTTCTGCAGACCTATGATGCAGAAAACAGCCTATGAGCTGTGGCTCAAGGACCATAAAAACGTCCTGCACTTGAAATGTGCCCGTTTTTTGCAAGAACGTGCTCATAGGTGCAACTACTGCAGAAAGAGCGACTTCATTCCATATCACCACTTCATAGTGGATGTTCTATTCAAATCTTTGGACACAGGTACAGTTAAGAAGATGACAAAGTCCCAAGGATTTAAAAGTAAACTTGCTTCCTTCCTAACCAATCCCAACTCTTCCTGGGAAGTCTGGAGATTAAACTCTAGAAGGAGTGGATCTGGACCTTGAAGGCTTCAAGTTCCCTGGGGGGCTGGGGCAAAACAGCAGCACAGGTCCATGGGACAGAGCAGTGTAGAGCTTGGGATGCACCTGGGATACCAGAATTATTGTCACTGTTACTTCCAGAGAGGATTTGGCCACACAGGGCTTTGGCAAATAAGGTGTGATGTAGCTTAAATTAAAATGTCTCACTTAATTCATAACAAGAGATGAAATCTAATGAGGTGGCATGGGAGGTGATGTCTGGCTTCATGAAGGGAGAGCAAAGATATTGCTTTGTTAGCAGGTTCTAGTGGAAAAAGATTACAAGTGGGAGACAATCAGCCAGGCCTAAGAATGCTCCAGAAAAGAAGCCTTGGTTTTTTTCTTTTTCTTTTTCTTTTTGAGACAGCATCTCCCTATAGCCCCAGCTGGCCTGGAACTTGCTATGTAGACCAGGCTGGCCCTGAACTCACAAAGATACACCTGCCTCTGCCTCCTGAGTGCTGGAATTAAAAGCATGCGCCACCATGCCTGGCATAAGAGGGCTTGGTTTTGAGGTAAGGATTCACAATCATCTGAGAAGCAAAAGTAGAAAAGTCACAATGAACATAAATCAGCATTGTGAGCTGGGAAAACAGAGGAGGACTCTAGCAGTGTCCCTGCTCAAGAATCCATCACTGCAAGCACCACCAATCCCATCTCATTCATGGTGGCCAGGAAGCACCAATGAGCTGCCTGTCCTAGTCAGAGGGTCTTGGTGATTACCACTATGCCTGATTAGGAAAGTAAAGACTTCCTGTATTAAAAATTGAGAAAAAATTACATATATATATATATATATATATATATATATATATATATACAGGTATATTGTAGAGACCTATATACCTAGAGTTGCGTAAAAATTTCTCAGACTATTGTGGAAGGGGGAGATTGTAAGAGCCAGAGGTTGTGCATGACCACAAGGAAATTCCTTCCTTCCTTCCTTCCTTCCTTCCTTCCTTCAGGTAGCATCTTATAGCCCAGGCTAAACTCCAACTGACTATGTAGCAGAGGATAATCTTGAACTTCTAATCTTTCTGCCTCTGCTTCCCAAGTGCAAAGAGTATAGTCATGGACCACCATACCTAATTTTATGTAGTGCTGTGACTGAACCTAGGGCTTCACGAGGACAAGGCAAGCAGTCTACGAACTAATCCTCATCTCCAGCCCCAGGTTATTTTCATTTTATAGATAACAAAATTGAATTCTCAGAAGCTTAAGTAATTTAACGGTACAGAATGAACAACGGACTTTATCCAATGCCTTTGCAATCTCTTTTTCTCATGTTCTGCCTATGACATCTGAGTTTCCCCAAAGTGAGGGGCTAATCTTTTGGGCAATACTATATGAAGAAATTAGAATAGGTTCCAGAGCCTTAGGTATTCATTTGTTTACTTAGCAGTGCTAGAGAATCAAGCCTAGGACTTCATGCAGCCCAGACAAGCTGTCTATCATGGAGGCTTGGAATTAGGTATGAATCAGAGAATGAAGCAAGGTTCCAGGTAATTCCCTGTCAATTCCTTTTTCTCTTCCTCCTCCTTTTCTTCTTCCTCCTCCTCCTTTTCTTCCTCCTCCTCCTTTTCTACAGATCCTATTTTTATTTATATTTATATGTATGTGTCCATGAGAATATATGTATGCCATGTTCACACAGGCCTGAGGATGCCAGAATTGGGTATTGAATCCCCTGGAGCTGGAGTTACAGGCCATTATGAGTCACCTGATGTGGGTGCTGGGAACTGAACTCGGGTCTTCTGGAAGGGCAGTATGTATTCTTAACCATGGAGCCACCTATCCAGTCTTTCAGGTCTTTCTTCTTTCCTTTTTTTTTTTTTTTTGGTCTTTTTCTTTTTTGAGACAGTATTTCCCTGTAGTCACAGCTGGCTTGGAACTTGCTATGTAAAGGCTGGCCTCAGTCTCAGAGATCTGCCTGCCTCTGCCTCTCAAGTGCTGGAATTAAAAGCATGCTGGGTGAGGGTGCTGCCTCATTTATTTTTTAAAGGTCTTTTTTTTTCATTTTTAAAATTTTATTTTTCAGGACTAGAAAGATGTCTCAGCAGTAAAGAGCACACCCTGCTCTTCCAGAGGACCCAGGTTCAGTTCCCAGTACCTACATGGTAGCTAACAACCATCTATATAATTTTTTTAAATTTATTGCTACATTTTATATATATGAGTGCTTTTCCTGCATGTATATAAGTGTACCCATGTTATGCAAGGCCAGAAGAGGGCACTGAATCCCCAGGTACTGGAGTTACAGATGGTCGTTAGCCCACTATGTGGATGCTAGGAACTGAAGCCAGGTCCTCTGCAAGAGTAGCCACTGCTCTTAATTGCTGAGCTATCTCTCTCTCTAGCCCTAAAAAAAAAAAAAAAAAAAAAAAAAGTATTTTTTTCTTTAACAGTTTCATACATCTATAGAAATGCACTTGAATCATATTTCCCCATTATCCTCATTCATCCTCCTCTCTTTCCCACCAAAGCCTTTCTTGTTCCCCACAAGCCCCCTTCCTACTCTCATGGCTTTTTTGTGTAGCTCATTACATTTAATTGGGGTTACTTGCATGAGCATGGATTGGGGATTATTTACTTGAGTGTAGACAGCTTATCAGTAGCTATACCACTGAGGAATATAACTCCCCCTTCCCCAGGACAGAGCTCCTCAGAGAAGGGTGGAACTTAATGAGCCCCTCCAGTATCCAGGATGGAAAGCTGATGCTCCCAGTCCTGTGCAGGTCTCGTATAGGTGGCTACTGTAGCTGTGAGTTCATGAAGACAGCAACCATGTCATGTCCAGAGGACAGAGTTTCACAGCACTCCTTCCCATCCTACAGCTCATCCATTCTTTCTGCCTCCTCTTCTGTAATGTTCCCTGAGCTTTGGAGGGGGTGAGAGAGATGTCCTGTTTAGGGATGAGCACTCCATAGTCACTTATCTCAGCACTACCACCAATTATAAGTCTCTGCATTAACCAGTGCCCACTGCAAACAGAAGCTTCTCTGACCAAAACTGAGAGCAGCACTAATCTGTGGTATAAACATAAATATTTTTAAAGATTTATTTTTATTTATGTGTACCCTATCTGTGTGGTAACTGCCATGTGGGTGCCTGAGGAGGGTGTTGGATCCCTTGGAACTGGCATTACAGGTGGTTGTGAGCTGCTTGATGGGGCTGCTGGGAATCGAACTCAGGTCCTTTGGAAAAGCAGCAAATGCTCGTAATGACAGAGCTATCATTCAAAGCCCCTAAACATAAATATTTAGAAGGTTATTTTTTTGTCTTTTTGAGATTTCTGTAACCCCAACTGGCCTAGAATTCATTATATAGACCAGGCTGACCTTGATCTCACAGAGGTCCACCTGCCTCTGCCTCCCAACTGCTAGGATTAAAACTATGCACTACCACATCCAGCTAGAAGACATTTTGACAAGATGTCCTTTTAGCAAAGCAACAGTAGTAGGTTTTCCCCACAAGGCCTCTGACCTCTTCAGTCATGGGCTTTTTACTAGGTTTACAGTACCTGGCATGAATTCCTCCTTTGGAATGGGTTTCAAGTTTCATCAGAAAGGGGTTGGTTATCCCATATTACATTCATGCCACTATTGCACCAGTGGGCACATCTTGCTTGTGGCAGCTTGGTATTGAAACTTGCAGGTTTTGCAGCTGTGTAGTCTGTAGATTCCCTTTCTGCCTCAGAAGTCTGCATAGTACCTTCTCACCCTATGAAAGACATCCCACAGGGAGGAGGTTTCCAGCTCAGTTCCAACTTTATGGAACTGCAAGCAATGCGTGTGGTACCTTCAGCAATAAGGGCTTATAATATAGTTCTGATATGCAACTAAGAGCAATGGAGACAGCCTGTATTGTTTTGGGGGCTTCTGGGGCCTCCCTGACCAACAACAGATAAGGAGATATCCCATACCGGGTGCTGGCACTTTCGTTTAATAACCTATGACTTGTAGAAGAAACGTTATCCATTTATGTAGGGTACCTCCCTTCAAACTCTTTTTTAAATTTTCATTTCTTTTTTTGAAATTATTAGATTACAAAATAGTAAGTTTCCATATGACTTTTTCATGTATATATCTTTAGCCTCAGTTAATCCTCCTCCCCTTTCAATTCTCTCTTTCTTTCTTTGGTTTTTGAGGTAATGTCTCACTATATAGTCCTGCTAGAACTCACTACTTAGACTAGACTGACCTTGATCTTGTGGTGATCCTCCTGAGTAGTGTGACTACAGACATGTACAATCATACCTATCTTGTTTTCCTTTTCTAGAAAGAGATCAAGACTGACAAGATGGCTCAGAGGGGAAAGGTGCTTGTTGACAAGCCTGATAACCTGAGAGCAATTCCCAGGACACACATGTTGGGAGGAAAGAACCAATTCCCACAAGTTGTCCTCTGACCTCTGCATGTGCACTGTGGCTTGCATACCCACACACATACACTCACATGACAGATAGATAGACGATAGATAGATAGATAGATAGATAGATAGATAGATAGATAGATAGATAGATAGATGCTTTTTAAAATGATCAAGCTAGGCATGGGCACACACCTGTAGTCCCAGCACTCGGGAGGCAGAGGCAGATGGACTTCTGTGAGTTCAAGGACAGCTTGGTCTGGTCTACATAGTGAGTTCTAGGCCAGCTGGGGCTCCAGGGAGACCCTGTTTCAAAAAGACCAGAAAAAAAAAAAAAAAAAAAAAGAATCAGGCTAGGGCTGAAGAAATGACTCAGCAGTTAAGAGCACTGACTGCTCTTGCAGAGGACCCAGGTTCAAGTCCTAGCACCCACATAGCAGCTAGCAACGATGCATAACTCCAGTTCCAATGACTCCAACACCTTCTTCTGACCTCCAAGGGCATTGCATGACAAGAGTGCACTTACACACATTCAGGAAATACACTCATACACATAAAATAAAAATAATAAATAAAACAATCAGGCTTTAAGTTCAGAACCTTGGAGTTCGGACCAGAGTTTCAAATCCTCCGAGGGCTTTGGGCACAGAGAACATGAGACTCCAGTGGTCATCTCATCACATCAGGACAGAGAAAGTGTCAGAAACATGTACATATATGTCACTGAGTGCTGATTATTCACGCTTATTACATATCTTCTTATGCATTATTTTTTCCAAAATTGAAAATACCCCTATTATTATTATGAAGCTAAGCTGAGTATTGTACTTGCTGGTTATCCCGGCACTTGGAAGGTAGAAGCAGGAGGATCAGGAGTTTGAGGTCATCTCCAGTTATATATCAAGTTTGAAGCCAGCCTGGGCTACATGAGACTTTGTCTCTGAAAAATAAAAAAGAACAACCAAAAAGGTTATATATACATCATATACTGTTGACACTGAAATCTGTACCAAGATACCAAGATGCAACGAATGCTGCAGTCTGAAGTGGGATGAGATGAAGCTATAGAATTTACAAAGGAAATATCTGAGAGCTGATTGTAGTTCGAGGTGAGGCTCCTACACAGTGTGATAAGAACTGTGATATAGCTCCGCATGTGAGTTGGGGACATGAGTTGGGGAACTTACTCTCTAGGGGCAAGAACACAGTATGTTCAAATTGCATTTCTACTCATTAAAAGATCTCTCCAGTGTGTGGAAGCTGCAACAAGAGAATAGAGAATAAGAGGCAAGCCTGGGCTACAGACTCAAAGGACAGCCTGGGCTATATAGTAAAACCTTGTCTCAAAAAACGATCTATGAAGTACATCCACTAGCCATTAACCTTGGAAATCAAAGAGTGAGGCTGCAGTCCTACTTCTGTCACTAGCAAGTGATCTTAGACAAGTTGCTAGTTATTTCCCACTTACATAATAACCCAGTAAAAGTTTTGACAAATGACCTGGAAGGTAGTTGGGGCCTTGGGCTCCTCCAAACCTCTGGTTTTGCTTTCCTTTGGATGTTCAGAACTAGTTGCTTTCCTGTGTAAGGGCAGAGTAGTGCAGACAATATCTTTACTAAAGTGACATCTATCACTTGTGCTCTGATTCTACCGTGAAAATGTACTACATGACTTCATCTAAGCTGAGTGCTCTGGGGACTGGGAAATGTGGTTCCTGGCTGGGTTCAGGGAATGAGTGTTTGGTAGATGGCAAACATCTCATATGCTTGTTTATTTTCTAGCTGCAGAGGAAGTCGTCTTTTCTAAATCAGAGTTCCCTGATCAACACAAATTTCCTGAGAATCTCAGGTACACACATCTGTCATTGTTCAATACATAGAGCATAAGCATTGTCATTAAATTCAGTCCTTTGGGCCTCTTAGGTACAGAGGGAAACTTCAGGGGTGCCATGGTGTGTTTGGTCAGTGGTATCTCTGCTGGGTTTTTATCATCTTGCTTTTGTTCATTTAAAGATATGTGACACCAAAAACCATGCTGTATCTATTATTCTTGATCTGTTTATTCCTGTGTTTCAACAGTCCTTCAGAGACAAGGGAAAAGATACTGCTGTTCTTTGACAGCGTTATAGTCAAGATGAGGACCATGCCAGAAGGCATCATCCCCCTGGAACCGTGCCAGTGTGATGAGCAGCTCCACATGGTCATCTTGCCTCTGGCCCAACATCTCGTGGCTTTGGAAGAAAATAACAAAGCCTTGTATTACTTCCTAGAAATTGCATCTGCTTATCTCATTCTGGGTGATAACTATATGGTAAGCAGTTCCTCCCACACCTCCTCCATCTCTGTCTCTAGGACAGCATAGAGCTACACAGCCAGAAGAGAATTCCAGTGTGCTTTTTCATTACCTCATGTTGATTCTTGCCAGTGTCCCTTTCCTTTGAAAAATCACATTTCTTAGAATGGGAACAATCAATCTAAGATTGGGAAAAAGAAGTTGGAACAAATTTCAAGTACCATCATACATTACGCCGGGCATAGTGCTGCATGCCTGTGATCCCAGCACTTGGGAGGCAGAGGCAGGAGGATCAAGACCTGTTGAAAGTCAGCCTCAGTTATATGGCAAGTTTGTGGACACTCTAGGATACATGAAACCCTATCTCAAAACCAAGCAAACACAAAAGCAAAAAAGTTAAAGCAGGAGAGATGACTCAGCAGTTAAGAACATTTACTGCTCTTCTAGAGGACCTGAGTTCAATTCCCAACACCTGTATCAGGTGGCTCACACAGTTCACAACTGCCTGTTACTCCAGCTCCAAGGAAATCTGAGGCATCTGGCCTCCAGTGGCACCTGAACTCATGTGCACATACCCCTACCATATACATAATTTTAAAATAATAATAAGCCTTTAAAAATTAATTTATTAAAGTACTGCAATCAAGTCAGGCATGGTGGTCTACTTGGGAGACTGAGGCAAAAGGCTTGATGCCAGCTTAAGCTACAATAGCAAGCTCAAGACCAGTCTAGGCTACAAAGCAAACCTACCACGATGAATCAGCTAATTAATTAAAGTACTGCCCCTTTTAGAATTGTCTGCTTGCATATTCCAAAATGATTTGAGCAGGCTTAGTCTGAATCCTTCACTTTTAGCATAGTCCTCTTTAGCAACAGCCTAGTGGCTGCTTTTGCCTTTCTGTCCAAAATACTTTAAAGATCTTATTTTTAATTTTTAATATGTAAACACGTATGTCAAGGAGTAGGTACACATGAGTGCAGATGCCGATGAATGCCAGAACAGGATGTCAGATCCCCTGGAGCTGGAGTTATAGGTGGTTGAGAGCTTCCTCACCTGGGTGCTGGGAACCAAACTCAGATTCTCTGCAAAATCAGCTAGTGCTCTTAACCTCTGGGCCATCTTTCTAGCTTCAAAGATTCATTTATTTTATTTTATGTATATGTGAGTGCCTGTAAGTATGTACATGTACCAAGTGCATGTGTGGTGCCAAGAGAGGCCAGAAGAGGGCACTGGATCCCCTGGAACTAGAGTTACAGGCAGTTGAGAGATGTCATACTGGTGTTGGAAACTGAACCTAGGTCCTCTCCGAGAGCAGTCAGTGCTCTTAACCACTGAGCAATCTCCAGCACTATATACCTTAAACTATTAAAATCATCAGTAAGTCCATTGTCTCAAGCACTGTTACACATTAAAGTCTCCTGCTTATTTCATGAACACATGTGGGTGGTGAAGATGTGGCCAGTGAGTCCCAGGAGGAGGTCAAAGTAGTCTTAGGGGTTAGTTAGTTCTTTTATTAGTTTACTTTTCATTGCTGGGAGTCAAACCCGGGGCCTCTCACATGCTAGGCAAATGCTCTACTACTAAGCTATACTACTGGGCTAGCTTTCTGAAGGTGTTCCTCATTTCATTCCCAAAGAAGGGTGGATAATCAAGAAGATGACTGGAAGCAGAGGGTAGAGGTCTTATGGAGTGCCACTTGCACCTCCTCCCCCCTCAAAGAAAGTCTGAACGGGGGTTGGCAGCCAGCTCATCAAGCCTGCTGCTTCTTGCCTCCCACACACATACACCTGGACAGCAAGAGGCTTGGAGATACTGCCTCACCTTCAAGCCTGATTCCATCTTAATGTTCATATCTTCCATGATGCCATAGAAGGCTAAAGATGCAGTAGGGAAGTTGCTTAGGACACCACCTCCCCCTTCCACCTCCCAAAGATCGCCCTGACAAATGGAGTGAGGATGCTTCAAAATTCATTACAAAAATAGAACCTGCTTCTCACAGCTGTGGGGTTATTGTCACTGGCAGAGGGACATTGTTGGGCATAGTGTCGGTGGCTGCAGGAATGGAGACCTGGCTCCACACTACCACCAGCCTGAAGACATCCCTTTTCCCTTAGGGACCTTCATTCAGGCAAACCCAGGATTCTTGACTTCACCACAGAAAAGAATCTCAGAGTGAGGCATGGTGGGACACATCTTTAATTCCAGCATTCAAGAGTCAATGGCAGGCAGATCTCTAAGAGTTTGAGGTCAACCTGGTCTACATATCAAGTTCTAGGCAAGCTGGAGCTACATAGTGAGAACTTGTCTCAACAACTATAACAACAACAACAAAAAAAAAAAACCCTCAGCATGAGAGAAGCATAGTTGAGGTTTATTAATTTTTTTACAAGGATCTTAAACACAGCGCTTAATAGGAAGAGATGCCCAGGGAAAGACTATGACCCTCAAGTATGGGTGTGGACTTCCTGAGGGAGATTCATGCCCCGTTGTCTTTACAATGGCTGTATATTTTGTCCTATGGGTTCCTAAGTTACATTGCCCTGAGTATAATTTACACCAAGGTTTAAGGGTTAAAGAATTTTCTTCTGTAGACAAAGTTATAAGGGGGATTTACATGGAATGTTATTCAGATTTAGGAATGAGAGGAGAATGCTAAACACCCAAGGTCATAGGTCATTTTGGACCTGAAGAAGCATCATTTATTTATTGTCTTTGGCATGCTTTATTGAGATGTCTATAGGAAAACATGCATGGAGTCCGTGGGCAATTTTGGTTTTATCAGTGGCCTCTGAAGTTTCTTAGAAAGGCAAAATTGATCCCAGGATCAAGGGCTTCTTTTTCTTCTTTCCCGTAATTGTCTCCATAATTTTCTCCACCTTTCTATCCCACCTCAAAAATAAGTTTGGGGATGGAATTACTGAGAGGAGGAAATTCCTGGGGTAACTAACTGTAGGTAAGGCTATTTCTGTGATAGTATGAAGAAAGATGAGATTCTAGACTTATCCTCTGTCCCTTCTAGTTCCTGTCTAGTTTGGAGGTCCATTCTAGTCAGTTTGGCTGGGGATGGACCTGGGATCTTAGTGGCTCCTGAGTCTTCCTTCAGTCACATATGGGGCAAAGCCCCTTCGTGGTCTTGGTCCCTGCAACTAACAGCTTTGCTACTTTTTGTGTTGGTTGCAGGCGTACATGTATTTGGGTGAGGGAGAAAAGTTGCTGGAAAGTCTCACAAATGAAGATTCCGTGAGTCAGATATTTGAATATGCCACCTTTTATAGCCTCAAAGGTCAGGTAAGAAATCATGAAAGCATTAAGCTATTATTTGCCTTGAGCCTGTCCGCAGAGGAGTGTAAGTCATCCTTATACATACCTCACCCTCTTATCCCCTTCCACAGATTCCTGCCCAAGATTCCTGAACCCTAAGTCCCTGGACTTAACATTTCCTCAGTCTACCTTGTCAACAGCAAGATCTTTCCTACCCTCTAAGTTGACATCTTTATGAATTCTTTCTGTAACAATGGACATGAATGGATAAATATTTCCTTAGATGATGCACAAATCGATGCTAATCCCACTCTTCCTCATGCAAACATCCAATATACACATATTAATATTATACCAAATACATAAAATACACACATATTAATATGCCAAAGCACATGAAGATTGGTTTCAGCTTTTTAAAAAATAAGTATCCTATAATATGTATTGTTGGAACATACTGGCTAAGTGTAGAATGATTGCTCTTCCTCTTTTCTTCTCTCCCTTCCCATCTCCCCATAGATTTGTTTTAATATGGGCCAGATGGTGTTGGCCAAGAAAATGCTGAGGAAGGCACTGAAGCTCCTCAAACAAGCGTTTCCTTACAACGTAGTCTTTTTGTTTTTCCAAACCCTTGTTGAGGAAAAGAGACACTCACGCTTCATGAATCAGCTTGCCCGGGAGGGCTCACAGCCCGGGTAAGGGAAGGAACCAGGGAAACCTGAGCATCATCTTCTGTTCTCTAGAGGAGAGAGACTTCCATGCAGCACAAGTCTGCCCACACAGCCTGTCCTCTGCTGGCACAAGGACCCCTGTCTGGTCCGATTACTTGTTGGAGTAGGGGGTAGTGGCAGATATGTAGGAGCTTCCTAGATGGGGCTGGAGTACCCAGAGCATTTCACAGGCAGCTTTTGTCAAAGGGAGTTCAGATGACAAAAGTACATGGGACTCCTCTGTAAATTGAGCTCCAGTTTTACTCCCTACCCATGTAGCCTATGAAAGAACTTCCTGCCGATGCATAATGAGGTAGCAGAACCAGCACCATGTTCCTTAGAGCCGCACTCACAAGCCCCCTTTCATTCATTACTAAGATACTGAGTATTGTCCCTACCTCAAAGAAAAGTTGCAGGCTCAAGGATGTCTGCCAAAGGATAAACCTTCCCACTCATCTATGTATTTGATAAGGATTATGTGGGGAAGGAGTGTCCATTAGTCAAAAGTATAGATAGAATTTTTTTCAATGTGTACAATTTTTTCCTATAAACAAACTAAAAAATAACGATCAAGGGGCTGGAAAGATGGCTCAGTGATCAAGAATGCTTGCTGAGCAATCATGAGGACCACAGTTCGGATCCCCACACTCACATAATAAGCCATGCATTCCCGAAATGTCTGTAACGCTGGTTCTGAGGAATCTGACACCCTCTTCTGGCTTCTGCACATGTGCAAGTTTGCACACCTTACATGTGCACACACACATACACACACACACACAGGAGAGAGAGAGACAGACAGACACATACGACACACATATAAAATCGAGAAAGGAAAGAAGGAAGGAAGGAAGGAAGGAAGGAAGGAAGGAAGGAAGGAAGGAAGGAAAAATATTTAGAAAAAGCAATGATTTAGCTGGCAGTACAGGTTTGTAGTCTCAGCACTTAAGCGGCAGAGGCAGGAGGATAGCTCTTGAGTTTGAAACCAGCCTATTCTACATATTTAATTCCAGGGTTATGTAGTGAGACCCTGTCTCAACAAAAAATAAGCCCCGTCCCCCAAAATAACCAACAAGTAAGCAAAGATGGAAACAGTGAGTTTGAAGCAGATGGAGATGAATAAAAATGTTGGTTGTTGAAGATAGGGTTGGCTACACATAGCTCATTACACTTTTTGTCAATGTGTTTGAAAATTTCCAAAATTTTGAAAAATATTCTACCTTTGTGGCAATTCATACCAGGGAAATGCCACCTTGTTGGCATCTGACAGCTGACAGAGAACACGTCTTCTGTTTTGAGATGAGTAGCAATATTCTGACAGCCTCTGCCAAAGATGCAAACACTTGTTCCTCTGAGCAAGTTGCTGCAGCTCTTTTGTAACCCCACCAAAAACTGACTTCTCAAGCTTCCAAACATGTTCTCTTAAATGTGGGGGATCCTGGAGCACAAATAAAATGGAGTCAGCTTCTTTAAAGATTGGCGGTAGGCAGTCAGGCATGATGGTGCATGTCTTTAGTCCCAGCACTCAGGAGGCAGAGAGAGGCAGAAGGATCTCTTTGATTCAGCCTGGTTTACATAGCAAGTTCCAGGCTAGCTGGGGCTACAGGGAGACCCTCTGTCAAAAAAAAAAAAAATGCTGAGGCTGGAGAGATGGCTCAGTGGTTAAGAGCACTGGCTGCTCTTGCTGAGGACCCGGGTTCAACTCCTTGTACCTACATGGTGTCTAGCAACCATCTGTAACTCCAGATCCAGGGGATCCAATGTCCTCTTCTGCCATCCTTGAGCACTACACAACATGGGTATACTTACATACATGCAGGCAACACACTCATACACTTAAAAATAATAAATAAAATATTGGTGCCACACGCCTTTAATTCCAGCACTCAGGAGGCAGAGGCAGGTAGATCTCTGCGAGTTCAAGGCCAGCCCGGTCTACATAGTGAATTCCAGGACAGGTGGAGCTACAGGGAGACCCTGTCTCAAAAAGACTAAAGAAAAATTTTTTTAAGTGCTCATTTCCTTATTTTGAGCAGAGATCTAATCCTAATAGCAATGTGCAATGGATATAATGATGATGATGATGATGATGATAATAATAATAATAATAATAATTAATAATAATGTCTAGCCAGGTTGGAGGTGGAGAAGACTTGAGTCCTGGTACTGCCTGGCTATGTCACATTGAATTAATGATTTATCTGAGTTTTCCCTTCTATGTAAAATGGAGTTAAATTATTCCTTTCATTCCTATAGACTTCATTGTCACAAAGTACATATTATAGTTCCTATCTTACAAAGGAGAAAGTGTGCTTTATGAAAATGACTATGCTTGTCAGTCATGGGGACAGGTCTCTAATTCAAGTCAGAGCTGATTCCCAAGCTTTGCATGAGCCCCTGTGAGCCCGCATTCTGAACTGGATGGTGACCATACCTTCTCTCTGTGTCCATTTGCTTTCCTTTCTCCACAGGGAGAAGAGGCTGGCACAGCTTTACCTGCAAGCCTCCTGCTTCTCTTTGCTGGGGAAGATCTATAGCTTAAATTTATTTCGCCACTGCAAGTATTATGGTAAACTGGCAGCAGTCATGCAGATGAATGCATCACTGGAGACTCAGAATAATTTCCAGGTGGGTGTTCCTGTAGCTGCTCTTGGAATATCTGCACCTCATTTGGATTTTTAAAAACCCCTAGCCAAAGTTAACAGGAATCAAAAACTCACATGGTTGTAATAGAAGCCTCTCTGACTGAATGACTTTGCCAGTAGCTCACAAATATTTTGACCTCAGACCACTACTTCACTCTAAAAATCATTGAGGATTCCAAATAGCTTTTATTTTCATGGTTGGCAAATACTGATATTATTATAGAATACAAACTGTGAACATTTAAAAATACTTAAAAATAACAGTAGTGAGAGTAAATTAAGATAACATTTCATTAAAAAGCAAAGTTCCATTTCGCTATATCCAAAAAAAAAATGAGAATTACGGCATTGTATTAAAATTTTGCAAATATCTTAATGACTTGCTTTACATAAATTCTTTTTTTATTTGTTGTTTGTTTTATTTTATTTTGTTTGGGGGGATTTGGGTTTTGTTGTTGTTGTTGTTCTTGGTGGGTTTTTTTTTTTCTTTTGGAAGGGGGTGGGATTGAAACAGGGTGTCCCTATAGCCCCAACTAGGCTGGAACACACTATGTAGACCAGGCTGGCCTCGATCTACCTCCTGAGTGCTGGGATTAAAGCCATCATGCCTGGCTGTTTGTTTAAGACAGGGCCTCACTCTGTAGCCCAGATTGACTTGCAACTCACTTTGTAACCCAGGCTAGCCTACAGCATGCAACAATCCTCCTACCTCAGCCTCATGGGTACTGGAGTTACAGGTATGTGTCACCAGATCTGCCTGGATAGCTAGATATTTGCAGCTGGCTGCTCCCATCTCCATTAAAGGGTTATGTTACACATGACACTTCTGAAAAACTCCACAGTATAGTCATAGAATGAGGGTAAAGAAGCATAATGTTAAAGAATAATTCTCTTTCACAAGATGGACTCATTCTGTGGACATGGTGGCACATACTTGTAATCACAGCACTAAGAAGACTAAGGCAGGAAGATGGTGAGTTCCAGACCAGCCAGGTTTGATGAAGCAAGACCCTGCTTAGAAAATCTAATCGATAAATAATTTGATTAGATGACGACAACTCCAGGTGACAAGAGCAGGAAAATATTAAGTCCGGTTCATCCCATGAGAATAATCAGTCCAACTGGAATGAATCATGAGAATAAAAGTCTGAGCTTCTTCTGACAGCAGTGACTTCCTCCTGCAGTTCATAATTATCAAAAATGAAGAGGAGTAGTCAAGTAACTCTAGAAATGTCAGAGGAACTTAAACTCCTAACCAAGACTCTACCCCAAGCATTGTTCCTTTCAGTAGATCTAGGGTGACCCCTCCAGGATGTGAGGGTATTTTTTGTTTATTTTTAATATTTTATTTATTATTTTTATTTTTTACATGCATGACTATTTTTCTTGCATGTATATCAGTGTACCACATGAGTACAATGCCCCAAAGAAGCCAGAAGAAGGTGTCAGGTTCCCCTAGAACTGGAGTTAAGGATGGTTGTTAGCAGCCTTATATGTGGTGGGAATTGAACCCAGGTCCTCTGGAAGAACAGTACGTGTTCATAACTGCTGAGCCATCTCGCCAACCATTTATTTGTTTGTTTGTTTGTTTGTTTGTTTGTTTACAGAATTATTTTATTATTCCTTGACAAGTTCAAACATGTATACAATGTATCTTGCTCATATCTGCCCTCAACTCTCCCTTCCCAGAGCCCCCAGCTCTTCCCCACAGTACATCCCTATTTATGATGTCCCTAAAGACTGGGTTCCCACCCATTTCTCCTCTTTCTCTTCTAGCTTCCTTATCCCACAAACACAGCCACATTGGTTCTCTTTTGGTTCCTCTAACAAGGAAGTTCAGTTCTTCTGTTGCACTGGGTATTTCCTTCGTCAGGAGCACTCATTCCTGGATTTTCACTGGACTCGGTCATGATCAACTTAAAGGTCACCTCCTCAGTGGGGCCGTTTTACCCATCTCATTATTTTATTTTGTTTTGAGACAGGGACCCCCTGTAGCCACAGCTGGCTTGGAACTTGCTATATAGATCAGCCTGGCCTTGATCTCACAGAGCTCCACCTGTGTCTGCCTCCTGAGTGCTACAACTAAAGGCGTGGGCCACCTCACCTAGCTTCTCATTTTTAGCTGAGAGTAGGGAGCTTGTCTGTGTCTTGTCCACACCCTGAGTACTTGGGACAGTGCCTGGATGAGAGCAGGTGTTTGGAAAACAATTACTGAATGAAGTACTTGACTTCTATACACTTGTGAGCAGCTCCCCCAAACAGTTCTGGAATTAGGATTAAAGGACAAGTCCAACTGGAATGAATCATCATCAAGATGGCTGGGATGAAGGGCAGAAGAGGAGAGGAAGTGTTCCCCTCAGAGCTTTTGAGCAGTGTACGATGACAGTGAACCAGAATGAGAACCCAGAGATTGGCTTCCAGACTCTACTCAACCGTGGTGTGACCACTGGCAAGCCACACAACCTCCCAGCTTCAGATTTTTCCCATAAAGAGAAGCAGTTGGACTCCATTCTCTTGGTCCATGTTCAAGAAGTTGGAGACTTTATTGCAGCCATGGACTTCTCTTTTGTCCAACAGTTCTCCCTCCTCTATCACTATGTATGGCTATCTTGCCTTTCTGGCAGCATTCTTTGAAGCACACTCCACCCCAGGAATAAAGGAAGTTGCTAAGGACGACTTTGTGATTTAACAAGTACCCAGGGACTTGCCTTTAACAGAATTTGTGGATTTCCAGAGGGAAAGTCCCTGCCTTAAAATGTCTTCCCTTTGCAACTGTCCCAATATGTAATATTTGTATCATTAAAGAGTCTGCATTTCTCCTGTCTGCCTTTTCCAAAGCAGTTTATATACATTGTGTGGTGTGTATACTATGAATGGATGTGTGACTGAATGTGTATATCTGTATGAATGTGTGTGTATGTGTGTGTGTGTGTGTGTGTGTGTGTGTGTGTATGTATGTGTGCGTAAATTGCTTCTTTAGAGGAGTGTTTTCAACTTGCTCTTCCCTAAGCATTTGTATTCTGAAACAATCTAAATTTTATTTGTGTGTATGTGTGTGCCTACTTCTCTGTTATGGGCACCATGTGTATGCAGTGCCTTCAGAGGCCAGGAGAGGACATTGGATCCCCTGGAACTAGAGTTACAGGCAGTTGTGAGCCATTTGATGTGGGTGCTTGGCACCCAACCTAGGTCCTCTGCAAGAGCAGCAAGTGCTCTTAACCACTGAGACACCCCTTCAGTCTTCTCTGAAATAATTTTGATTATCATTTTAAAAGCTGTTTAAAGATTAATCATCTTAGACCTCCCTCTGCTTCCCTGGGCCTGCAGGACCCGCAGGCCTCTCTCCAGGGTAAGACCATCGCACCCTCCACGCCTTGACTCCCCCAGCCTCATTCACTCTTCCATCTTCTTTGCCCATCTCTCCTCCTAGCCTGGGTCCTGTCCCATTCCTTGTCTTGGCACCCCAGACACCACTGGAACCACCACTGCTTCCTGATCCTTTGCATCCAGACCAACCCAGTTCGTCAGTGCAGTCCGTAGGAGCCCTTGGGGTCTCTTCCCGCCCCAATCTCCCTTTGCAATTCTGGGTGGCACGGCCACCAGCTTCCCTAGACCAGCATCTTTCCTGGACCCTGCTCTGAGGCCAGTCTAACCCCCAAATTCCTGAGGCCAAAATCTTGACTGGAGGGATCCAGACCTCAGGAGAAAGCCTGAGAGCATCTGATCCTCATCTGACTTGGGCTTCTGTGGGAACTCCTGAAGACAAAAGCAATCTGGCCAATCCAATATAAAATCAAAAGAGAGAACCAGAAGCTTAGATGACCCAGCATTTCATGCCCAAAAATAAACCACAAAGACACATAAAGTTCCCCCCAAAAAGCAGACCTAAACTTGAAGGCTTGAGTCTCACACAAGAATCAGAAACTACAAAAGAAATTCACATGTCAAAATCAGAGAGAAAAAATAATATGAAAAAACAAAATAACATATCCCCACCAAATACCAATAGTCCTCAAGAGGAGTACAGTGAAAACTCCCTAGAGATAATGCAGGACATGTAACTCAAAAGAACAGTTATTAACATGGTAAAAGAATTCAGTGAATTTAAAGAACACACAAATCAAAGAACTAAAAGAAGATATGGATAAACTTCTGACTGAATTCACAAAATGGAAATATTAAGGAAAACTCAGACTGAAAGGTAGAAAGAAGTGCAAAACTCAATAAGCCAATTAGAAACAACAGGAGAAAGTGTCACCTATAGAATGAATGAAATGGAAAACAGTATATCAAGACTGGGAGATAAAGTGGACAAACTAGACCACTCAAACAAAGAGTATGAAAAATTTAAGAAATCAAAA